TCCCTACAATGAACTCTCCTTTTATGTCTCCTATTCACTTAAACTTCCCTCCTGCTTTTATCAAAAGCAATCCAGCCCTAGTAGCGTGGAATTCTTGTATCAAACATGGCTTTGACTGATCTCTTTTGTTTTCTGTGACTGGATGACTCCCTCTTGTATGAATATCTTTGAATTTGCATTGCCTTTATACAGGTATGCCCTGTATGAGGTGGGTGTGTGCATGTGTGGCCATATATGCACATACATGCACACACATACTTATGCCTTTATGTATATATAAAAACATTATTCTGAGTACTGACTACATACATATCAGTCATGTTTGGCTAATGATTTCTACTTGAAGAGAGCTCAAAGAGAGCATGTAATGTATGTTAACATGACAGTTGGCAGGCATGACATTCGGGTTGCTTCTATGAACTAGTTGCTCCCCAGTTCTTTCCTTGTTCTAAGTTTACAGACATTTGTCAGACCTACCTATTGGATAACCCAGTTCTTTCAAAAGCCTCTTCCTTAATGAGTTTTTTTCTGAGGCTATATGAGATATCTGATGGCAGGGTGCTGACTTTTGTAGCTGTAATGTGCTTCTCAGCAGTCCAGAACATGTAATTATAACTGGTGGAATGAACCAGAGGGTAAAGAAGGACAGCCAAATAATGGGCTGAGTTGCATATGGAAGATTCTCTTGGTGGGAGTAGTCACAAGTCTTTTCCATGCTGTATGTCAGTGATTTGTGGTTTTCCTGGTAATCCTTAGAGAAAACAAGCAAGATTACAGGGCTAGCCAACTCTGCTGTGTTTGATAGTTTTGGTATTCTGTCTTGAATAAGATGCCTGGTTTGCCTGTCAGCTTGCCACTGGGAGGGAGATCAGGCTGTGTTAAGAAGGATGCATTTCTGGTTTGATTTTTGCTGCTTTTCCTTAAATTCAGAGACTGCCTTGCATTTAGCATGGTATGTTAATGTAAATATTGACTTACTGGAGCAGGGGGAAATGGCCTTGCTGCCTGTCTTTTTTAGCCTATTTCTGCTGAGGGCCTTTCTGAATCATGCTCCAAGGGAAGGTAGACATGGACATACCCAATAATTCCTCTAGCTCATTTGTTGAAAGTATTCCTTGATGTTTTATAGCATGACCTAAGTTCTTAAATCAGTGGCTGCTGAGTAAAATTATTCAGCTGTGCAAAACCTGAAATGAGAACCTATTTCCCATTTTTCTTCTGCCTCTATTTCTGGTTTAGCTCTTTCTTTGTGATATTTCATAGCTGTCAGGTTTTCTTTTGTGAATGCTTTTGAGTGTCTAATAGTCTGATCAATCCATATCCATGCCCAAAAGAGGAAAAGAAGTCACCGAAGAGATTTGTTCCTACATCAAATCATAAAAAAGTAAAGTAAGTATAGTTTTTATGGAGTAATTGCATTTCTGGTTATGTAACTCTTCTTCCCCCCACCCCCTCTTTAAGGTAGCTTGGTATTCAGAGAACTCAAAGCAAGCATATATGGAAACACAGAGAGATCACAGATAGGCAATATGCTGACTCTTTTGGAGGCTGAGCTGGCCCTTCTGCATGCTCTAATTGATTTCTAGTCTTATTTAGCCTTAGCTGTAAGGGCATGCAGCCAAAAGTCCATGCAGACTCAGGATGGAAATTCACTCCAATAGACTTAGACTGAGGTTTAAAATAAACGTGCAGGAGATACATGCGGAGCTGCATGTACAGGCTGCTGTGCACTGTCTTGCATGCATTTTGACAGTAGTTTATTTAACTGCAATGAAGACATTTGAAAGAATCATAGAATGGGTAGAATTGGGAAGAGAGCAACTAATTGATTTGCAAGTTTGGGCTTTGCTGGATAGTTGGTGTTTCTTCAGGTTCATATCCCTGTTAGGAAGAGATGTATCGCTATCCTTTCTTTGGGGAGCGTTCAGATGAGTCCTCGCACAAGGACCGTCTGTTGTGTTCCCTGTTAAATGGGGTATTTGTAGTTGGATGATTTGGTTTCTTCATTGAAAGAAATGAAGAAACAGAAGAAGTTCAATCAGCAGAGCCTTGAGCCCAGTTTTGAGTTGCCAGAGCCTGTGTGAATGGTTTGCACCAGTCTAGTATTGTGCTGAAGGGCCAGTACTAGAGATGAATTTAGTCACTACGCTCCATTCAGTCCTTGGCAGATCTGCTGCGCTGTCGACAAAGGAGCAATTAATGCCAATTATGAGGAGTTTTGTGATGTTGGTATCTCTGTTGTCCTTGCCTGAGGCCTGCCAAGCTCGTTTCAGGAAGGGCAGTAGTCATTAGATAATGATTATCAGTTACTGCTGTTCGGGCTTGCAACAAGTTGGGAATTTCCTTAGTTGTTATGAGCAGTCTCCGGGTTTTGAGTAGGTTGTGTTAATGGAAATAGCAGTTTTGTCTGCTTGTGGTGGGGCCTTGCAAGAGCAGAGTAAGCAGCAATAGCTAGATCCTCAATGCGGTAGACGTGTGCAGTGGGAATGGGAAGCTCCATGGTTTTGCTCTAGACTGGTGAATTGTCCAGTACATCTGGTTAGTCACTCTTAAGTCATTCCACTAGCAGCTCTAGCCACTGCTCTCATTTTCCTG